AGCTGCACAGAGGCGGCCCCTCTCCGCAGCAATGCCTGCTCCGTTTGTCACGCCTTTAAGGCCTCAAAGCAGCTACTTAACGCTTCGTAGCGAGTAACGTCTGCTTTAATGCTCAGGGAATTAACGCTCACGCTCCCGGCCCTGCGGGCAGCGCCTGTGTTGTCCTCAGCCCTTTCTCTCCCAGCAGGATGCTGCGCTGAGCTGGAAGATGGCTTTGCGGGCTCGGCAGGTCTCTCGCTGGTGTTGCCTACTGCGAACGGCCCGTGCCGCCGAATTTCCTCGGAGGCTGAGTGGCCGCAGCAGCACCGCACAGGCATGTCGTGGGTTTGTGCCTCGGGCTCCGCTGCCCTCTAGAAATGACGTTTTTCCGTGGAGATTGCAGTCATATAGGCAGGTATCTGCAGGAAGCTGTTATCCACCTAGCAGTGCCAAGGATGGATGCTTTTCTTCTCCCGAAAGTAACTTGCCTTCACCAGTAAAACAGGAACAAGCAAAAGCAGAAATATTACCTGACGCGAATGCAAAAGCATGTGAAGGTAAGAGGCCTTAGGGATACCATTTCTCCCAAATCATGCTTTCAGTATTACCCTTGGTTCTCCTTTTTTTGACCTGTTTATTTTTAAAAAAATATATGAAGTTCCCGACTTTCACTTGTTTTTAGCCCCATAGTTAACGCAGAATTCCTGTAGTCACTCTAGCATACAAAGAATGCCTTTAAACCGAGATAAAGTGCGATGTTTTGAGTAGAAATGTCGGTCTGGAGCTGCTGTTTGAAGGGGTTTTCTTTTCATAACTCTACCTGTAGCAGCTGATCTTTTGCCTTTGCCTCAGTTGTGCTGGTACAAAAGAAAGGGGTTTGTGTGTTGGTTTTGGTTGGGGCTTTTTTTTTTTTTTGAGCAAGGGTTAGGCAGGCTGCTTGCAGTACACAGCCGTTTGACAGGGATGAGCAACAGGAGGCAGCAGAGCGTGAGGCCTGCTTAAGCGCTGCCGTGACAAGAAATGCTCGGCCAACAGTCTCCTGAGGAAAGGAGGTAGATGCAAGGTCACCTTGGTGTTGTTGCCCTGAGGAAATTGCCTCACTTTTCTCTACTTTTATATCTAAGTCATGATAAAAAATAAAATACCACCCTCTGAAAAGAATTCTAGTACGCTGGGGAAACTTGTGCATTATTACTAAGCAGTCTCGTATGTTCAGATTCTGCTTTGAGCCCAGCCAACTTGGATGCAACAGAGCTTACTTTTGGGGTAGCTCAGAGCTGCAACTGAGATCTGTGTGTTTGTGCAGCTGGTTCTGGAAACAGTGCTGCACCAGAACTGACAGGTCAGCCAGCTCGTATGTGTCTGCACCTGCTGTGCAGTTTATCTCTGTGCCAGATCTTTACCTGCCAGCAGATTTACTGTAGTATGTATGGAGCATTTTGCCCAGTTGGCAGTGTATATAATGGAATAAACATAATTGCTAACTTTTATTTTTGTTATTTGAGGTGTGTTATATCCTCCTGTTAGGAGGGTTAAAGAACTCAGAGTGGCAAAAAAAAAGGGCATCTGCTCCTGGAATGGACCTTGGTGTATGTTGGTCCAGTTCTGAACAAGATGAAAGAAAGTACTTGATATCCATATACATTCCTAGAGAGTTCTTGTTACTGTTTAAGGTGTAAATGTTGCTGAAAACGTTTTACTGTGCTTTCATTTCTGACGCTTTGAGAAAAAGAAGTGGCAAGACCTTCAACAGCTATTGAGCTAATCTGTGCAATTCTTCCTGGAACATTAGGATCATCCATCCTACTTACTTTGGAACCTATCTTGGTAGTTCTGGTGGGGCTTTGTTTTCTTGACATGGAAGAGTGTTACCCTAGTCTCTAGGAAGTCATGTGCAAAGGTAAAGGGCACAGAAAATCCCCATCCTGAAGAGTTTATAATTAGGGCTGTTGATCAGTAATCAGTTTGATAATCGAGGTGGATGCTAGTAGCCAGCCTGCAAACAGTAATCTTGATCTAGCTGCTGTGAGCTCCTGTCAATAGAAAAATAGATCAATTCAGAGAAATATTTTTTAAAAAGACATTGAGCTCTGTGACTTGAAACACCAAAGGGGAAACAAGCATAATGATGTTCACTTGGAAACCTTAACAAGTAGGAAATGGAGCTTGATTTTTTTAGCTGTTAGAGGTGGTGGCAGTCAGCAGCCATTCTGTAATGGATAAGCTTGTTGGAGCTGGCTGTGAAGTACCTTGAAAGTTAAAACAACTGCAGTTCAAGCATGAGATTCAGAAGAGGCCCAAAGTAGTGGGCTTGACAGGTTATGAAAAATAATCTTTGCAGTAGCTGTTGATCTGGATATCATCAGGCAAAAATGCATTTGTGAAGACATGAAAGAAGATTCTTTTTCAAGAAGGTGATGTGATCTGTTGTCTGCAGCGATCAAGGCAGCAGACTGAAGACAGGCTTGCTGGGTACTACGCTCAGATTTGGCCACATGAGCAAGGGTTGATGGGCAGTGACAAGGAGATGGAACAGAGACAAAAACTGGGAGTAGAGTCTATGTTTTCAAACATTAATAGATTGGCTGTTCATCTCATGCACAATGTTCTTCCATTTTGAAATGGATTTTAAGAGATCTGTGTAGCGTTTGGTGGGAGCAGCTTTGTCTTTCACAAAATGCCTTTGGGTCTTCTGTATTTGTTTCTTAGACTGGGATGATATCCCACCTTCATTTGCTTTGGAGGAGATTTCTGAGGAAGAAGCTGTACAGATCATTGCAGAACCGCTTCTTCCCCTTCAGTCTTCCACGCTCCGAGATTATGTTGATCACTCGGAAACCCTGGCGAAACTTGTCCACCTAGGTATGTGTGCTTTTGTTTATGTGGTCTGCCCATCTCCGGAGCTTTGGATATTCTATAGTTTGTGTTTTGATCTTACTGGTTGGCTTGTAAGCTTGAAAATAGAGACAGTGCCCAGTGCCCAAAAGCAGCAGAATGTGATGGGTAAATGGAAGAAGAGAGGGGACTGCATGACTCGCTAGCAATGCCATATTACTTGAAGACAAAGCTGGCTAGTTTTCCTCGCTTAGTGCTGTGGATGCTGGAAGGAGGCACCTCCCACAGCTTCCAGAGGTGGGGAGCACTTTGTGTAACTTGATTGTTCTTTCTTCTTCTGGGCCAGTTAAGGATGCTTTAATTTGCTGCAAAGGAAATTGCACCTTTCTGTCCTTGGAGGGGTGGAAGTAGAGCAGTTGCTGTGCAGAATCTTAGAAATGGGGCACAGTAAACTAGAAATGCAAGAAGGAAGGGATGGAAAAGAACCTTATTTCTTATCAAAAAGCATTTGGACTGTGCAGGGGTAGCTGAGTTCGAGGTTCCTGGCCACATCCTTGTTTCCCAAAAGTGTGAGGAACGTTAGAAGGAGGTTGGAGAAACAAATACTTGAGAGAGGGAGATCTGTCCCCATGTAGTAACAAATTGCTATGTGTGAGCCAGTATCCAAAGGCACTTCACTGCAAAATCGTTTCCTTCCCTTGTATCGTGGAGTTAGGAATTCCTTACACACATACTGCTGTGCAAACAAGAGGTCTCTACATGTGGCACGTGCTAGTGTACTTGATTCCTCACATGCAGGATTCACTGCAAATGTCTTCCTCAAAAAATAAAGTTGGCAAAGCATCTAAAATGACTGCTTATTTTATCTGGAATCTTTCCACAGTGTACAAGGTGTTGTGACTTTGCTGTGTCAAGCAATTAAAGTATGCTAAATTAGTGCAAAAAAGGAGTAGTCCTATAGATTTCGGGATGCCTTCACGAAACATTTGTAGGAAGTAGGGTCTGTGTTTAATTAAAACAATTTCTAATTTTGTTTGTTGTAGGAGTTGACTTATCCCAAGTGGAGAAGCGTCAAAAGGCAGGTCAACTCTTACTGACTTTGGACTTTGAAAAAGATGTAAGAAAAATACTTCTGTTTCTTAAGGATGTGGGTGTAGAAGACAATCAGCTGGGACCATTCTTAACCAAAAATCCATACATCCTTGCTGAAGATCTGGAAGCTTTAGAAACAAGGTAAGCCTTACAAATAGCAGCAGGTTGTTAAGCCCCTTGGCTTGAAGATCTGGTTTCCCAGTTGGCTTAACCTTGTCTGAGCTTATGTTGCTGCTGCTTCCTCTCACTCAATCCCTGGCTCCGTGTTCCTGTACCTTCCTATCATTAACATGTGGTGGTATCATAAGTAGAGTGAACACCCTGATCCACCTGAAAACTGACTGTTAACCAATTTTACAGCTCATCCCTGTCGCTCTGCCACAGAGGAAGCAGCTTGTCATCCTAGACCACTTGCTTTACCTCTGTCAGCTTAGATTCCAAAATGTTAGTCCCTGAGGCTTTGTCTAAACATGTAGAACAATATTAACCTCTTCAGTTGTGCTTTGAAACCG